CCTGGCCGGGAAGCGCCGCCGCCTGTGGGTCGGCGGTCTCCTCGGCGCGCGTGTCGCTCCGCGCCGGGCGGCCCTGATCCTCGCCCGGTTCGCCGCGGTCCTTCGCGCGCGGCCGCAGCTCCTCGCTGCTTTGCGTGGCTTCGCTGCCGTTGCTCAGCAGCAGCGAGAGAAAGTCGCCGCCGGCGGCGCCGACGGCCAGCAGGCGCGCCGAGGTCGTGGCGGCGGCGGCGCCCGGCGTCGCGGCGGCGTCCGGGGCGCGGCCCGGCTGAGAGGTGACGGCCAAGGTCTGCATCACGTCCAGGGTCCGATCGGTTGGTCAGCGCAAGGGGGGCAGGCGCGGCTCAGGAGGCGGCGTAGTCCAGCTCGTGGGGCTCCACCGCGACGGCGTCGCCGTCGAGCTGCAGCCAGGACTCGCGCAAGGGGGCCAGCAGTCCGATCGCCTCGTCGGCGATGGCCGGATCGTTCTCGAAGTTGATCCGGTGCAGACGCTGCAGGACGAAGCCGTAGATCCGGCCGAGGTTCTCCGCCACCTCGCCGCCGCGCGCGATGTCGAGGCAGAGGTAGAGGGAGCCGACCAGTTCGTGGGCCATGGACACGGCGTTGCAGCGGGCCTCGATGTCGCCGCGGGCGATCGCCGCCTTGGCGTCTTCGAGCATGGTGATCGCTTCCTCGTAGATGGTCGCGACCATGCGGTTGGGGCTCATCTTCAGCAGATCGTCGGTGCGGATCCGCGTGGCGAAGCGGGCCATGGGTCATCTCCTGCGGTTGGCGTCCGGCGCCGGGGCGGGGGAACGGTCCCGCCGCCCGGCCGGGCGCGGCGATGCGGCGTCCGGTCGTTACTGGAACAGGCGCATCAGGTTCTGCGGTAGCTGGTTGGCCTGGGCGAGCATCGACACGCCGGCCTGGACCAGGATCTGCTTCGAGGTGAAGTTGCTCATCTCCGCGGCGACATCGAGGTCCATGAGGGCCGAGCGCGAGGCCTCGGTGTTCTCCATGGTGGTCGCGATGTTGGCGGCGGCGAACTCCAGACGGTTCTGGGCGGCGCCGAGCTGGGCCCGCGCGACGGCCAGGTTGTCGATCGCCTCGTTGACCGCGGTGATCGCCGTCGTGGCGTTGGCCGAGGTGTCCACCGTCGAGGTGTCCAGCCCGGTGCCCAGGGCGGAGGCCTGGACCGAGGCAAGGTCGATGGTGACGTCGTCGGTCGTGTCGGTGCCGGTGCCGATCTTGAACTCCAGGCTCAGGGTGTCCGACGTGCCGCCGGCGACCGTGAACTGGGTGGTGACGTCAGCAGTCATGTTGCTGGTGTCGTCGAACAGGGAGTTCAGCGTCAGGGTGATGCCGGCGCCGTTGATCGTCACCTCGTTGAAGTTGCCGGCACTCGGTGCGGACACGCCCGGATCGGAGGTGTAGCTGGTGCTGGTGCTCAGGTTGGTGACGGTGAACTGGTCGGCGGTGGCGTCGTAGGCGACCTGCACCACGTTGCCGGTGCTGAAGGCGCCGGTGTCGTTGGTGAAGGCGATCTGCTCGATGCCGTCGGCAACCTCGATGGCCGTCGCCGTGCCGGCGAGGGTGGCCGAGAAGGTCGAACTGCCGGACAGCAGCTTGGTGCCATTGAACTCGGTGTCCTGGGCGATGCGGTCGACTTCCGAACGCAGCGCCGTGTACTCCTGGTTCAGCATCCCGCGCTCGGTGTCGGAGAGCTGACCCGAGCTGGCCTGCACGGCCAGGGTCTTCATCCGCACCAGGATGTCGTCGACGCGCGCCATGGCGCCGTCGGCGATCTGCAGCATGGAGATGGCCTGGCCGGCGTTGACCGAGGCCTGGCGCAGGGCGCTGACTTCGGCGCGCAGGCGCGAGCCGATGGCAAGCGACGCGGCGTCGTCCTTGGCGGACAGCACGCGGGTGCCGGCCGACAACTTCGCCAGCGAGTTCGTCGCTTCCGCGTCCGACTGCTGCAGGTGGCGATGGGCCACGTTTGCAGCAAAGTTGGAAATGACGTTGAGGGGCATGGTTGGGGTCTCCGTCTTCTTTCGCTCGCGTGGGCTCGAACTCTGGCTTGGCCTCCGACGGGGGGCAGGGCGCGCTTGCGCCGACTGCGCGTGGGCCGGATCGGCCGAGCTTCGTTCCTCCTTGGCTCTGCCCCGCGCAGAGGCGGGCGGTTGCAGGTCACGCCGGTCGAGCCACGCAGATGCACGCGAGCCTTGCCGGCACCCTGTTTCAGCAAGGCGCGTGCCAACTCCGAGGGTGCGGGTTAAATCATTGAAAAATAATGATAAAATGGACAGGCTCGAAGCCGTTTCGAGGCCCCGGGGCAAGCTTTGCCGGGAGTCCGACGGGGCGGGGCTGGGTCATTTCTGCCCGCCCGGTGGCGCAGATCCTGCCTAGCAAGGCGGCGTTGCAGGCGCTTGCGGCTCGCGCGGTGGCGGCTCGCGCGGTGGCGGCGCGGGCGAGACAGCAAAAGCCCCGCTGGCGGGACCAGCGGGGCGGCAGGCGGCTTCGGACGTCGTGGTTTCGCGACGAATGCCCGGGATCAGGCTGAGAAGCTGAGGCTCACGGCCGGTGGCGTGGCGGCCCTGTCGCGGTTCTCGGACGCGGCGCTCGACTTCGTCTGCGCCTGTTTCTGGTAGGGGGCCGCGGCGGGGCGCGGCATGGCCGCGCCATCACGCGCCAGCGTGCGCCAGGAGTCGCGTAGCGGCTCCAGCAGGGCGACGATGTCGCGCGGGACCTGGGGGTCGTTGAGGCGGTCCACCTCCGCCAGCCGCCGCAGCGCGAAGCTGTAGAGCTGGGCGAGCTGCTCGGCGATCTCGCCGCCCTGGTCGCGGTCGAGGGTCATGTCCAGGTGATGGATCACGTCCATCGCCTTGGCGTTGGCCTTGTGGCGCGCCTCGATCCGCCCCTCCTCGATCGCGCGCTCGGTCTCGCGCAGCAACTGGATGGCGCGGTCGAACAGCATCGCCACCAACTCCGCCGGCGAAGCGGTCATCAGGGCCTGGGTCTGGTAGTTGCGGGCGAGGGCGTAGCTCATGGCGCGTCCTGACCTCTTGACTTACTCGGAGAAGGTGTGATGGCGGTGCATCACTGGTTGCCGCTGCCGGCTTCGGTGATCTGGCGGATCTGATCGAGGATCGAGTTGAGCCGCGCCAGGTTCTGCTCCATCGTGACGAAGCGCTCCAGCAGCCGCTCGCGCTGGAAGTCCAGGCGTTCGATCATCTCGCCCGCCCGATCCTGGGCCAGGCGGTTCTGCTCGGTCAGGGTGTCGACCTCGCCTTCCAGCGAGCCGCTCTCGGTGTCGAGCAGCGCGTCGAGCTCGAAGAACATCTTCGCGCCGAGGCCGACGCTGAAGTCGATGTCGATGCCGCTGGCGTCGCCGGCGCCGGTGTAGAGCAGCCGCAGCCCCTCCGCGCCGCTCTGGTCGCTCACCGTGAGGGTCCGTCCCGACACGCTCACCGAGCCGTCGTCGCTGCCGTCGCCGGCGCCGTCGAGGTTGGCCGAGCCGACCAGGTAGCTCTGGGTGGTCAAGGACAGCCCGGCCAGCAGGTCGCCGGTGTCGTTGGTCACCGTCAGGGCGTCCTCGCTGGAGGAAATGGCGAGCTGCTTGCCGCTCTCGCCGTCGAACACGGCGGCGGTGACGCCGGTGATGCCGGCGGCGTTGATCGCGTCCGCCAGGTCGTCCAGCGAATCGGTGGTGACGTCGTAGGTGATCGCCGTGCCGTTGATCTCGAAGCTGCCCGAGGTGGTGGCGCCGACGGAGTTGGCGCCGTCGTCGAGTGTCGCGGTCGAGTCGACGATCGTGGCGGAATGCTCGCGCGAGGAGCCGACGCCGCCCAGGTTCAGGGTATAGCCGTTGGGATCGTAGGCGGTATTGCGGTTGAAGTTGAGGAGCTGCACCCGCGGATCGGAGCTCGTGAGGCCGAAGGTGAAGAGGCTCTCGATCTCGTCGATGTTGTTCAGCAGCGAAGAGTCGAGCTTGGTCTCGTCGATCCTGAGCGTGTCCTTGAGCAGCGGGTCGCTGAGCGCGTCGTTGTTGACGAAGTCGACGCCGATCTGCGCCAGCACGCTGAAGGCCGTCGAGGTGCCCTCGGCGCCGTTGCCGAGCACCGAGCTCAGACGCCGCTCGATGTCGCCCAGCGTCGAGTTGCGGAACAGCGGCCCGGTCTCCTCGGTCGCCTCGCCGGTGTCGGGATCGGCGAGCTGCTGCTGATTGATGAAGCTCTTCAGTTCGTTGTAGGCGGTCACGAAACCGCTGATCGCGGTCTTCACCGCGTTGAGGTCGCGCTCCACCTCGACCCGGATCGTGGTGCCGCGTTCGGCGCCGAAGAGGGTGAGGGTGGTGCCGGCGAAGAGGTCCGCGATGGTGTTGCTGCTGCGCTCGATGAGCTGGCGGTTGGTCAGGCTGAGATCGTCGAGCGCGCTGCCCGTGTCGCCGCTCAGGTTGATCGCCTGCCCGCCGTCGCCGGTGACTTCCAGACGGGTGGTGCCGCCCGAGGTGACGACGCTGGCGCTCACGCCGGCGACGGCGTTGATGGAGGCGGCCAGGTCGCTGACGCTGTCGCTGCCGCTGTAGGCGACGGTCCCGAGCAGGCTGTCGCTGGCGTCGCGGATCTCGAAGCTGTAGGGCCCGCCGCCGACGCCGAAGGTGGAGAGCGCGGCGCTGCCGTTGAGGCTCTTGGAGTGCCACTTGTCGGGGTCGAGCAGACCGTCGGCGTAGAACTGGGCCGTGCGCGGCGACTGCAACTCGTTGAGCAGGGTCGCGCCGCCGTCGTTCGAGATGCCGAGTTCGGACAGCAGGCCGCCGGTCTCGTTGGTCAGGCTGATCTCCTTGCCGGTCTCCTCGGCCGTGAGCACCAGCACGTTCTCGCCCTCGGCCACCGAGACGATCGAGGCGCGCACGCCGGTGGCGTCGGTGCCGCTGTTGGCCGAATTGATCCGGTCGCGCAGCGTCAGCAGGCTGTCGGTGCCGTCGACTGTGATGGTCCGCCCGTTGATGTCGATGCTGCCGGCGATCGAGCCGGCGGCGCCGCCGCTGGCGCTGCCCAGGTCGGCGGTCGTGCTGCTGAAGGTCAGGCTGCCGATCCGCTGGGCCCGGGCGATCTGGTCGATCTCGATCTCGTGGGTGCCGGTCTCGGCCGCGTTGGTGACCGCCACGCCGAGCAGGTTGGCCGCGTCGGAGGCCGCCCCGCCGTCCTGGCGCGAGGTGGAGGCGAAGGTGGACTTGGTCGCGAAGACGTTGCCGGCGTCGCCCAGGGTGATACGGCCGTAGAGGTCGGTCAGCGAGGTGCGCATGTTGGTCATCAGCGCACGAAGCTGGCTGAGCGCTTCCAGCTTGCTGCCGCGGTCCTCGATCTGCGCCTCCAGCCGATCCACCGGGATGCGGCGGGCCTGCATGATGCCGTCGACGGCCGAGTTGAAGTCGATGCCCGACTGCAGGCCGGAAAAGCGCACCCGGCCGTTGGCGTCGGTGATCAGGCTGTTGGAGTTGATCGCGATATCCGACATGCCGCCCTCACACCTCGATGTCGACCAGACGGTCGAGCAGCGCATGCAGCTGCTCGGCGCTGCGCAGAAGCTCTTCCGGCGGCAGTTGCTGCTTGACCTCGCCGGTCTCCGGATCGACCAGGCTGGCGATCACCTGCTTGGTTCCCTCGTCGATGTCGAGCGTGACCTTGAGCTTCTGCGGGGCCCCGCCGGGCGCTTCGCCGGTCGCGCGCCGCGGCGCCTCGATCGCCCGGTCCAGCAGGCGCTCGCGCGCCGCGGCCGGCTGTTCGTCGGCGACGGCGGCCGCGGCAGCCCCGAACGCCGCGGATTTCGCGGCGGGCTGGGGCGGAAGGGACAGGGGCGTGATTTCCATGGCTCTCGTTCGCGTCGGCCGTCAGTGGGCCCGACGGGCCCCGGCGACCGGCACTACCTGCGCTGTGCTTCGCAAAACAAAGGTCCTAACGGGATCGACCTTGCGAGAAATGAGAAGCAAGAATGATGCCAGAATCTGACAAAGCGCAGCGCGGAAGAGGCGGCCGTTAAAGCCGAGTGGGGAGGGGGCGGACCCCCTCCCCGAACCGGAAGACGCCGGATCAGCCCAGCAGACGCAGCAGGTTCTGCGGCATCTGGTTGGCCTGGGCCAGCATTGAGACGCCCGACTGCACCAGGATCTGCTTGGAGGTGAACTTCGTCATCTCCGAAGCGACGTCCAGGTCCATCAGGGCCGAACGCGCGGCCTCGGTGTTCTCCATCGAGGTGGCGATGTTCGCCGAGGCGAACTCCAGCCGGTTCTGGCTGGCACCCAGCTCGGCGCGGTTCTGCGCCAGGGTGTCGATCGCGCTGTCGATGTAGCCGATGGCGTTCTCGGCGTTGGTGTTGGTGTCGATGGTCGAGGAGCCGAGGTTGCTGTTCAGCGCGTCGGCCGTGGCCGACTTCAGGCTGACGGTGATCTCGTCCTCGGTCGACTCCGTGCCGGTACCGATCCGGAAGTCCAGGCTCAGGGTGTCCGACGTGCCGCCGGCGACCGTGAACTGGGTGGTGACGTCAGCAGTGATGTTGCTGGTGTCGTCGAACAGCGAGTTCAGCTTCAGGGTGATGCCGGCGCCGTTGATCGTCACGTCACGGAAGTCGCCCGCGCTGGGCGAAGAGACACCGGCGTCGGAGGTGTAGCTGGTGCTGGTGCTCAGGTTGGTGACGGTGAACTGGTCCGCGGTGGCGTCGTAGGCGATCTGCACCACGTTGCCGGTGCTGAAGGCGCCGGTGTCGTTGGTGAAGCTGACCTGCTCGAAACCGTCGCCGACCTCGATCGCCGTCGCCGTGCCGGCGAGGGTGGCCGAGAAGGTGTCGCTGCCGGACAGCAGCTTGGTGCCGTTGAACTCGGTGTCGTTGGCGATACGGTCGACTTCCGAACGCAGCGCCGTGTACTCCTCGTTCAGCATGCCCCGCTCGGTGTCGGAGAGCTGACCCGAGCTGGACTGCACGGCCAGGGTCTTCATCCGCACCAGGATGTCGTTGGTGCGGCTCATCGCGCCGT